TCCTCAACTTTCTCATCCTTGTGCAGAGAACTGTTGTTAGAAGGTATCATCTGTGTAGCTCAACATGACACTCTCTTAACCTTAAAAAGGCACCCTGAACATGCAGCCCTATGTTTCTTTCATTTTGGTCTCTATCAGACAAGGAAAAGTAGCTCTGAGAAGCTGCAACAAAAATGGAAGGGAGCAATGTAGGCTTTCATTTAGTAAAAAAGAAAATCAGCATGTTCACGCAATGAAATTTGTTAGGAAAAAGAAAGGTGAGGATGGCACTGGAAGAGAAAAACAAAAGACCAAGAATCACCTTCTGCCCTGGCATCTCTTCCCTCCACCCCCAGAAAAGAACAAGAATCAGCATATGTGAAAAACTAGACGGTGGGAAGGAGAAGAAGCAAAAAAGGATACTGGTCTTGGTAAGGAGCTGTTATATGCCAAAATGGGAACTTGTGGGAATGAAGAGGGTAGGCATAGTCACATGGGCAATAGCATGGAACAGAAATGTTTTATCTGGAAAAAGACTAAAGCATATTTTATTTTTCAGGTGTAGGTTTGACTGTGTAGTGTTTCAACAAAATGTACTTTCATTTAGATTGTGCTCAATGTGTCCGATTAGTTTTTCTGTGCTGGACAGCCTAGAGGCCTAATGAAAGCTCAGTTTGCTTTTTGCAGACATCATTGCCACGAGTCATACTGACAATAATAGTACATGGAGTCATACCGACAATAATAGCGTACGCCAATACATAATTACAGATACAGCAGCCAGGATAAGCAGACCTAAGGTCGCGCTGCCCTAGGAAAGGTGGTGCTGTCGCTCTCTCCAGGGTTCTTCCCACCAGCTCACTGTGCCCCTCTCCATCCCCTGTGTGTTGGCATTGCCATGCTGGGATTGTGCAGCTAGATGGATCAGCTTGCTAATCATTTTGGAGACAGCATGAATTTAGATCAGCTTAAAGCTGATTGTGGCAACATATTCTCTAATCCTGCGACTCTGAGTAAGCATGAGCCTTCAGTGCCATTGAAAGAAGTGGTCCAGCCTCCTCCCCTGCTGGCACAAGCATTCACGTAGCCACTTGGCTACAGGCCATTTTGACTGTCAGTGAGAGGGTGCGTTACCAGAGCCCGGCTGAACTAAATGAGAAAACCGGTTTCAGCTACAAACTAATCTCTCTCTCTCTCTCTCTCTCTCTCTCTCTCTCTACTCTTCTGTGTATTCATGAACACCTGTGTCTGGTCAGTGCAGAAGGTGGGAAGGCCCAGCTGTGAGTGCTCAGGAACTGCAGTGTGAAAGCAGGGGACACGGATGAATTGCACTGACGTTCGTAAAGGTGTCTTAGCTAGGAAATGATGGGAAAATTGTAACAGAAACTAAACAAAACAGCTAGGACTTTAAGAAAAATATATATTTTTTTTTTTTGTCCCAACTCTGAAAGGAAATGGGGAAAAAAAGGCAGCACTTTGAAGACGGTGAAAAAAATACCACTGACATTCTTTACTAAGCCTCGTTGCCAGGGTTTTGATACATTTAATACACAAGACTACTAAACCCACCTCCAGCAGATCACACTGATTGACAAGTTGAGTAGTAACATCGCCAATGGCAAATGATTTTACATGGAATGTAAAGGTTTTTAAGAAGAAATTTAGGGTAAGAACTCCAGACCCACTGTGTGAGAGTCTCTGTGCATCTAAGCAGGATATTTCTGCTGACATCAGGAGAGGCACCCTGATATAAACCAACCTGGTGATCACCTCTTTGGTTGTACTGTAGATATCATTTACCTTGAAAGCCTTGTCTCAAAGGACAAGACCTGTTACAACTATGTTAGAACAAAGTTTAATTTCAGCAGAGATCGTAATTTATTAACTCCTTTAGTAGCATTACCTGTTACCTTCACCATAGTCTGGTGAAGATTATGATTTGGGCTGGTTTATACCACACAACCCCAACACAGTTGTATTTGATGATCTTAAAAGGTCTTTTCCAACCTAAAGGATTCTGTGATTCCTTGATTTATCAAGTCTTGTGTATTTGAAAATTAAAGGCAAAGTTAGTACTGCTTGATCAGTGATAAACAGTATGCACAGCAGACTGCTTTTTAATCATCCATGCGATGTGGGGAAAATGAAGAAATGCTTCACTAAGGAAAAAAGTCAAGTAGAAGAAGGTGAAAATGAAAAAAAGATTATAGGAACACAGATACTTCCAGAGTAAAAGTAGATAATAGCACATTAGAATAATATATATAAGTATATATATAAAATATAGTATATTTAATAACATAATAATAATAAATTATATTTATTTTCAATCTTGAAGTTTCTTTTTTCTCTTTCAAAAATATCAACTCAATATTTTAAAAGGTGCTTAAAGCCTAAGTGACTTAGAAACTGAAAGATTTGTTAAAGAAATATGATTCACAATGAATCACTGAAACATAGAGCTTTGACCAAAGAGTGGGGTTAATGTAAATAGTTTGAATTTAGGTTGTCAGATTTTAAAGCTCCCCTGACTTTCAGTGAGCTTTTGAATTATAATACTAAATTCTGCAAAATTAAAGTCAGGCTCCCATGTCACTTAGTTATTTTTTGACAATTTTACTGTTTTTTTTACCGTCTAGGAAGACAAGCACATATCACTGCATTTTAAATATGTCAACATATCTACTATATACATGCACATATATACTATACATACACATTTATCTACCAAGCCCATAGATTCAAATTACAATCAGATGAAAAATTCTTCACAAACCTTTGGGAACATCATTAGTATTTTTGCCAATAATCTGTCTCCCTAGGACCTAGCCTAATATTCCAAATCCATGAGCAGCTTCAAGAGCTGCTATTTAAAAATTAATTACCAATCTGCTTAAAAGGCATTTTCTTCTTTCCAAATGTGAAATTTCTTCTTTTTCCCATCTGCCTGAAATTTATGTAAAGCTTAAAGTGTTTTTACCAGTTTCTTGCTAGTAATCTTTAGCTTTAAGATATGGGTTCAATATACTTTGAGTGAGAAGTAAAAGGTTTTTTAGGAGAAGAAGAAAAAGAATGGTTTTGGCAATTTAGTGGCATATTTACCACATCATTTGACTGTGTTCATGTCTGGTGCCAGAAGGCTAAGCTTAAACTCTGTAGTCTGATATTCTTTCTTTATAGAAAAAATAGAATACAGATACTGAAGAATTTTTCTCTTGGTTGACCTCTGTCTTTGTGAGCACTGAAAGACTTTACATATGAAGACATTCAACAGGCAGTTTCAATATGAATTTTAATTCTGTGTAAGGTATTACAATAGTTTTTATTTTTTTTTCTAGTAAAAAATCCTGCAAGGAGTATAATATATTGGTATAAATCTTCCACATTTATAATGCCCTGCATAACACAATCATGGCTTTGCTATACCCAATACAGCCATTCCCAGCTCATGGAAATGAAACTTTCTCCTCACATGATGGCAAGACATTATGTTTTTCCCTCTTATATGCATCTGTATTTACAAACATAGATAGATAGAGGCATAGACTCGTTCGCAGTGTGAACATACACACCACATACACACAAGCTATTTTTGAAGAAACTGCTAAGACATTTCAATACCAGCCAAACATATTTATCTGAGGATTAATCTTCATCTATTGAATCAGACGAGAACACTGCCATGCATACAATTATTTAATTAGCAGCCAAATCCTCTGCCAGTCAGCAGCCGTTCCAGGCATACTGATGGGGCAGTAGATGCAAATCTCACAGTAGTACTGCTTTTTCTCATTACTACTGCAATTAGCACTTAAATTGATGCTTTAAACATACTAATTTCTGGAATAATTCAGGATTTGTATGTTACCTGGGATCGCCTCACTGCAGAGACGACACCAGATTGCTACGCAAATTGAAGCACTTTTGAGCCAAATAACCATCATCATATCAGACAGAGCCAATTTGCATTTGCTTTTAAAGATAACAGAATGGCAATTTATGCAAATAAATTAAGTAAGTTTACTTCTGAGTTCTCCCTGAACTAATTATAATAATGTTCTAATTTTTTATCACATCTAAAAGTTGGACTGAAATCAATGTGTATTATGTTAGAAATCTGTTGTTAAAGGAAGCCTTTTTTGATGTCAATACATTTTCTTAATTCAAAATTTTGATGTTAATTTGGTTACAAATGCAGATGTCTGTTATAGACATTTAAGTACTTTTCTTCTTGTTTGTGTATCAGTAAAAGGTTTAACTGAAGCTGAACAGTCAAACTGCCCTTTTAAACATTCAAATAAAAAACATTTGAAGTATAGCTTTTGAAATTTTCATCTTTCCTGCATTTATTTGAAATCAATAGGCTTAGAATGTGATGAATGCTATGGAATATAGCTATCCTTTCCTGCAAATGCCTTGAAAATCAAAGTGAAAACAAGACTTTAACAGCTCAACATTTTGGAATAGTATTTTTTTCCCTCCCCTGTGAAGTATGAAATTTTCATCTCCTTTTTCTGTTTCAAACAGAAAATGAGTGCTGGATGTTTTACTACGAGTATTCTCAGAAAAAACGGTGTTTGACAGACCACTTCAGAAACCAGCTATGATGACATTTGCAATGCATGTATTCCTAGTGCAGAGCTATGAAAAGGTGGATAACACTCAGCAGATTGAATGAACTAGAGAAGCATATTTAGAGCAGAGAGATGTGGTAATACCAGCCATAAACCAGAGTCTGTTACTGCTTAGCAGGGAATAAGTGAGAATAATATTAAGAAAACAGGCAGAGAAGAACCTTTTTAAGGGCAGCAGTACCCTGAAATTAGAGCAATGAATGTGTTCCACTCTATACAGAACGTCATATGGTATTTACTGAAGGAGAGAGAGTATTTCTTTGCCCAACTACTCCTCCTTTCCAGTCACAATGATGGTCACAAATAGAAAGTGTTACCTGTGAAATGTGTGCTGCTTGCAACTCACTGTCCACAATGGAAGCAAAAACATTCTCTTTTCCTTCACAGGCAGCCATTAATTCGGGAAGACACTCGATGGGTCCTTGGTAACCTCCATGCACACTCTTCCTTTGGCCTTGGCTCCACTTCCTGATACAGACAGCAAAACATATGCCCAGGAAGGGAAAGCAAACATTTTTACTCAGTTGTTTTGGTGGTAAAACTCAATACTGAGTTCTGTTTTTAAAGGGTGGTTATTTATTTTTGGTTAGCATTAATTACTGCATCATCTAAGCATCTATAGAGCTTTGCATTATCTATGATGTTAAGATGGATACTAATGTAGTTTTATAATGGATTCAAATAAAGAGATTATTAACATACAGCGTTAGATTTGTTAGTACTTGGAACCCTTCCAGTGGTCTCTTGTTAATTTGTCTGGAATCACGGTTCTCAAAATAATCTGTGGGGGTTAATTAATCAATGAATATTGAAAACAGAAACAGAAAATCCATTTGGGAAAGCATCACTGTGAAAGGCAGAGTTCTACTTCTGATTCGTTAATGAACATTCTTGGGCACAACAATGCCATTCAAACACAATCAGCAGCTGGAAGTGGAAGGAAATTGGAAATCTGCTAATGCTTAAAAGAATTACATACCGAAAAAGGTAAAGATGCTGGAGCTCAATATTTGGCAAAGTAAGCAGGGATGAGTCATGTATCCATCTACCCTGAACCACCATCTGTACCAGGTTGGTTATGTTCAGAGCAGTCACCAGCCAGCCATGATATGCTGCAACATCCAGCATTGCCTGAGCAAAAGAGACATATAATAAAAAACCAAAACCAGAACACAAATATAATCGCATACCTGGTTCATACAACATGTGATTAATGTTTAACATGCAGAGATTTCTAGGCCTCAGCATAGGAATTCAACCTCTATTGATGGCAGTTAGGCACCTTTGGAATTAACCTTGAAAACAGATGAATTAAATCCTCTATCATTGTTATCATTTCTTACTCTTGAAAAGGTAGTTTACACAATGGTTTTGGGGGTGAGGACTGAAGGCAGACTCTTTTCCTTAGAAATAACTCCTCTTTGACATAACCCAACTCAGAATGAAGGAAAAAATCTCAACATTTACTGTAAAAGAAAAAGTTACAATTAAAGGCAATATTTATTTATATTTTGACGTGAGAGCTTTCTCAGAATTACATAATTATTCAAAAATCCTTGACCTATTTAAGAACACCACCAATATATTTACATTTGTCAAAAAATTAATTTTAATGTTATTTACCAGTAGCAATTATTATTTCCATTTGAACGAAATACTTAGAAAACCCCTGGAATTGGACTAGATTAAGGCACTAAAATTTAGCTTTATAGCATATTTGAAGTTTTGTTTAACACTGACACCTAAGTTGAAGTCTTGAAGAAAGCTTACAAAATAGCTTATATTTTACCTACGGTGAGTAAAAGCGATCAGAAACAAAATGGATTTCACCCTTTGCATTGTAAACAGTTGACTGTCTTGAGAATGAGGGGTATTTGGCTGTCTTTCCTCTGGCATCTCTATCCTGATCCTGAAAAGCTTTCCCAAAGTACACAGAAAACACAAGCAAACAAAAAACCCCTATCCAGCTATACATCATATTTCAAAGTGTTAAAAAACATCCTGCCTTCCATGTCTCATGAGTTTCTGTTCCATTTCTACTTCCCATGTTTTGACAGTACAAATAAGAGGTATACTGTTAGTACCGTTAGCATAAAGATCTAAAGATAATTCAGTATGGATTTTGCAGTGCAAATGGCCCTATGGACATGAAAAGAATGGTTCTGCTTGCTTTTTTTCTTGACTGGCCTTGTTTGGTTAGTCTAAAAGTGAATTTAAGAGTTTTTCCAAGTGAAAAAGGACCAAACATGAATTTTTGGTCTCAACATTTTTTAACAGTAAATGCATCTATATTTGGATATATAGTATACTTTCCACCCCGTCTATAGAACATTGAAAGAATTATTATGATTTATGGAAGCATTTTATCTAGTGAAAAAAATGATACTATAATATATTCGTTGCCTTGCTTATTTTGTTCTTCAACATTATGATCACAATAAAGTGTGGGTCCTCATATTAAAACACTCTAATTCATACTGGAGTAGAGAGTCATATATTTAACAGTCGTTTGCCATGGAGTGAATTTAATGTCTGATTAAAATACTAGAAAATAGTTGTTTTTTTAAGAAAGCAAGGGATATTGATATATTGAATCTAGTGTATTGAATGGTTTCAACACCTTTTTAACAACCAGATTGGTGTTAGGAGGGTTGTAGTTTGATTTTAGGACTGGGTTTCAGATGTTTCCATGGGTTTTTCTTGTAAACACAAATGATATTGTTTGATACTTACTTAGGCAGCAGATACCTCCACCATTTTAACTTATTTTCCAGCCACTAGTGTAATGAGGAGAAGCTGTCTAAGTCTTTACATTTAATCAAATGTTTTACAGACAAACAAAAGGCAGCATTTACTTAAGGCAAACTAAACAGTGAAATCTTCTTTAAACAAAGGAGTTGTTTACACACGCAGAGCTATTTCAATTAAATTACACTGATTCTGGAGAAATACTGACTTTAAAGACACAAGTTAGTTTCACTCCTGGCCGAGTCACACAGTTTATTTTAGCAGTTTACAATGCAATTTCAACAGGTTTTTTTTCCAGATCGGGGTGATAAGATCAGTGACACTTAGAAAAATATTTGAAGTGTTACCCTGTATTACACAAATGTTGTCTCATTTCTCATGAATTGCAGATAAAGGGTCTTTCAGCTAATAAATATCCAGATTTAATATTTAATTTTTTGGAGGAAGAGTCATAGCACCCTGAAATTCTCTAATATTTCTAGTGACCCTAGAACCAGTACCTCACAACACAACCTTACTGGTTTCCATTTCTGTCTTTTCACTTGGCTTGCCAAAGTGATTTCCATGTAGGATTGTTTTCACCAAATAAAAAATAAAATTATGTTAGAAATCATGTTTGAAAGGAGCGGCTTTGTGGCCTGCAGATTTATATGTTGGTTCACATGACATTTGCTCACATAAGGAGGGAATTGTTCCCAGCATCAGACTGGAGTCAGTCTTTGAAACTTACAAGGTGAGTTGTTCTTTACCTGATTTCACATTTTAAAGTATATTGAAGGCTATCCATACAGTACAGTCCGTGTTTCTGAACAGTCTGTGTTGCTGAGACAGTCTGCTGTCTGCCTCCCATTCTCCACTGCCTGATTCTTGTTTTTTTCTGCTATTCTGACAGCCTGAAACATCACGTTCCCCAGTGACGATACTGATGTACACATGTGAAGAATAATGGGAGCACAAATATCGTGTATTTTCCATGAGCAACAAGAAGAATACAGTAAGTTGTATTTTTAGTCAGCATGAAGCAGTGGTATTTCATAGAACGCTTCTGAAGATGCACACATAACACTGTTGCATTTTTTCTTTCTTTTTTTTTTTTTTTTTTTTTTTTTTTATCTATCCCTCTCCCCTCTTTAAACAGAGGTTTGAAAAGGGGAAAAGAAGAGTGAAGATGTAAGAGAAGGATAAATCTAAAACAAGCTATACTTTGAAATTAACTGGAGGATCCTTTCACATAGAAAATCTCCTAGAAATTGATAGAGGCCTACAGATAGATATCCCGTAGGGAGTAAGGAAAGCCTGTGTGTGTGAGACTCTGTGTTCCACATTGTTATAATGAATCCACATGGCAAATCCTCTTTTCCTCCTTATTTTCTGCTTCTTCACCCATAGAATTTATTCACAGCATCTCAATCTGGATGTGAAATCCAAGACAGTGACATTGTGAAAAAGTCAGAACAATGGTAAAGTTGGCTTGATTCATCTGCTGCCCTGGAAACCTCCACACATTTAGTTTTCCTCTAAATGTAAAACACAGAGATGCTTGATACTTAAATGGTTACTGAAATTCCTATAAATACTCAAGGTAACAAACTGAGTCATTCAACTATCTCCAAATGTAAATATAAACAACTAAACAAAGACTATAATATAAACCACAAAAATTAAAGTATTTAATATTTAACTTATCTGATGAATAATGTACTTAGTCTCTCTAGTTTATCTAGTTGCTACCTGTTTTGTTTGTTGCTATTTTTATGTCAAAACCACTATAATTTTATAGAAACTGGTGGCTTTATAAACTCTTATTTTGCAAAGCAGTAAATAAATTCTAACTATCTTACAGCTGGTAAGATTGGAACAGATTAAGAGTTCTAAATAAATTATGCTAAGTTGGGAAATGGCACAAATTGGTTACCTGCCTTTGTAGCCTAAGAATTTCAAAAACAACAGGATAATTTTATCACAAAGAAAAACTTAAAAGAAGAGGACAGTGAGTGCAAAGAGTGAAACAGGAAACAGAAAAAATACAACAAATTAAATAATAAAAAACAACCCCAAAAACAAACAAAAAAACCAAGCCAAAACCAAAACAATCGTCTAAGCCCACCACTTTTTAACCTAAAGTAGAATAAATGGGGTAAATAGATAGAGTCAAGGGAATTATTGGTTGTTATAACAGAAAATATGTTTATCATCCTCTTATTTGGGACTCCTTCTGTGCTTAGGAGAATAAAAGCAGATGCCTATACTGAAATGGGTTTATCATGAAAGATTCAAGCCATAGCTCTTAAGCCTTCCAAATGTCATATTTGGACAGTTACAAAGTAATAATAGCAATTAGTAAAATTTACATTTTGTCTGTCACTATCAAAAAGAGATTAGCTTGTGCCACCATGCACAAAAATGCCGATGATCAACAACTCACTGATGCAGATGTTGTCAGGTATGGCAAAAACTTTCATGCTGATGGTATCTGGAATTGAGTGTCAAAATGTTTGGATCAAAATCTTGCTATTGCTATCATCATTCCAGGAGTGCATTAAGATGAAACCCTCATCATCTATGATCAAGTTTTATCTTATTTTCAGGAGCAGCAGTTGCTTATCCTTAGGTACGGAATGACTTAAACTGATCAAACCGTACCTTTCTCATCTAACATGAAGATGAAATTTAACAGTCTGTCTCTTTCTAGTCAAGGTTATTACCAATTCTTGGAATTTA